GATGTGAGGCTCTCTACTAGTGAATGTCTAGTCTCATTTCTCACTCAGTTCATTGACTGCTGCTCCACTGGTCTCTGTATCCCCGCCACTTGCAGGAAGGAGACACTGTTCTACTGTTAGCCTCTTACCTAGGTCATGTTGAGGTTGTACGTCTGTTGCTCAAAGCTGGGGCTGCAGTCTTCATTCCTGACAAGGTTTGGGAACCATGTCGTGTTCTGTTTATTGTCTTTATGTACACAGTGTTGTTGTTAGCTTATTAGCTTATTGTTCGTCGGTATGTGAGGTTTTCACTGTTAGCCTATATAGAATGAGAATTGTAGGCTAATACACTTGTGAAGGTTGGATGAGGAGGACACCTGACAGAGATGGTTGTCAGGTCTCCTGGTGTTCAGGGAGAGAGATGAGTGGTCAGTAGTTAGTCAGGAATGTCTCATTAGTTCTCTCTCACTGTACAGGATGGTCTCAGTCCACTCTTTGTTGCCAGTCACGAGGGACACTCTGAGGTGGTGGATATTCTGGTGAAAGCTGGAGCTGATGTACATCAGGCAACAGCCAAGGTATGTGAGGAAATGTTGTGTTTGTATTCAAGTGAAAACATACAATTCACGTCTGCACTATACATGCACACATGACAATAATACTATTTCCATATGGTACCAAATCATCTAGTAGGTAAAATGTTGTCAACAGTGTTTCTTGCAGTTTGTAGTAATTACGATGCAGTGGTACAATAGTAGTAAAAGCAAGCTTCTCAAGAAGATTGGGGGACCAGCCCTCCTATTGGTGGTCCTCCAGCACCTCCTACCCACCTGCCTCCCTTGTAGGTTCAACTAAAGTCCATGAAAAACAAAATGTCGTCATCTTGCAGTACGTAAGACCCTGATCCTCCTTGTGGCTAGTGAAAACCCTGTGTAGTAGGTAGAAAATGGAGCATTATTTTACAGTCAACGTGTATTGATTTGTTTGTTTGCACAAGGTGTTGGACCATGTAATGTGTCCTACTGTATTGTTCATAACCCTCGACACCCATGCCAAGCGAAGGTTGCCAGTACTGTGTTTGTGTACTCTGTGTCTACAATAGGTGATTGTGAAAGGTACCATCCAGTGGTCACACTTAATAATTATCATTAAAAATCCCTGAATCCAAAACCATTTCTTTGCTTTCCGATACATTTTACTCGTTTTATAGAATGTCAATCCCACTATTTACCATATACCAAAATTGCAATTTGCTTTTTTCCCGCAATTGTCATTATGGCACATGCGTGAGTGATAGGCATTCCTACACCTTAGGCTGCACTCTCCACTTCTCCACCTGGCTCATTAGCTTATGTAAACAGCTAGGCTAGCCTATGCTTCGTTAGCTTAGCTAAACAAACTGCTTTGCGCTATGTATATACATACCCCTGTGTATACACAGTATAGCGCTCCTGTATTATAATTATACAAGTGGAAAAATCATTACTTCAAATGAAGGGTGATATAGGGAGGCTTGAAGCACCAAAAAGGAGAACAGGGGTCATTACACAGCAAAGATGCACGAAGCTACTACAAACCTATTCTTGTCTCATATTCAACTGTGCCAATAAACATAAAACAAAGATATAGGGATTGTGTCATGTGCTTTGTGCATCTTGCTGTATCCGTGCACACCTCTGGCGAATCTCGAAACGTTTGATGGAAAAAATCAGCTTTCACAATTTCGGTACGAGATAGCGGGTTTACTGAAGATGAATGATGATGAATGATGATGTACACGGAATTCGTGAAATCGCGTAAGAGTTAATTCTCTTCTGGGAACTGAGGGCCGTAGAAGTCTCGGGGCATAATGTAAGCGAGCCTCTTACACTGAGATTTATACGTGTTTCCCTATAATTATAGAGCGCTACGACGCTCTGATACATTATCCGCCATTATGTCATTTTTTTTTTGATGCACTGTGGGTTATGGATTAACCCGGACCCACTGTATTATGATAGAGCTCAGAATAGTGATAAGTGGCAGTTCTGAATATAAATTGAGGAGGAGACCTGACAGAATGTTGTCAGTCTCCTGGTGTCGCAGGGAGGGAGATGAGTGGCAGTTAGTGAGTCAGGAATGTCTCATTAGTTCTCTCTCACTCTAAGGATGTCTCAGTCCACTCCTATGTGCCAGTCAAGAGGGCACACGGAGTGGTGGATGCCCTGGTGAAAGCTGGAGCGATGTCAATAAGCTGGGAACAGGTACGTATGTGATAACATTCTGAGAGAGTGCTAGATTACAGGTCTTCCTATTAACACATGCTCGGTGAAGTCATGGAAGTATAACTTAACTATAGTTCGAAAACCAGGGCGTAGTGGTAATGGGTGAGACGAACTCAACTTGTTTCACTAACGCTAATTTCTATATAGTATGACAGGCACTGTGACATGCCGTAAAGTCTACGTGATTCATGAAATGAACGAATAATGGACAGCTCGGTTCACTTGCCAAGAAGGTGTTGGCCTTCTTCTAGTAAAGTGGGTGTTGTGCCTGTTTGAGCTGTCCGCTATTACCTATGATAGGTATTGTAGAGCAGCATGCACATCAAGTGGGGCACACTGAAAAGGTTGTGGTGATGGGATGGAAGTGTGTTGTCTTCAACTGGGGGCGTGCTAGGAAAGATTGGCTCGTTCCTCATTGCCAGGTCATTTCTTACTCCTTCCTGGGAACAACTCTGTCTGCTATATAAGCTGATGTATGGGCAGTCGGTTGCGTGGCTGGTGTCTGTATAGCTAGAGGTCAAAGGTTTGAGGAGTAGGAGTAAACCATTCCATACCACCAGCACTGTGTACATGCAAAGATACCAACCTTCTAGTAAACCTTGGTGATCATTTTCTCTCTCTCGGTGTAGGCCGTTCCCCTCCTTTCTCGTTGACGTGGCATCCCTGTACAGCCCTCATTGAAGAAATATTTTTCCACTCATGTACCATAGTGTATAGGGGAAAGGCACAGTAACAGCAGACTCTTGGATCTCCCACCACCAACAACACACCTTTAGACCAAAGATGTGCAGCGAATGCTACACTATTGGCAGCCATACCTTATTAGGTGCAGAGAAATTAGTGTCATTTCGTTTCTCTCCCAGGACATGCAGGGTTCTCTGGGGAAAGCTGCTGGTAAAGGACACACTGAGACAGTTCAGAGACTGTTGGAGGCAGGAGCCAACGTCAACCACCAGAACAAGGTGATGACTGCTACAGTCCTGATTCCTACTGTCAGTAATGGTGAATATCTACGACTGTTGCTAACAGACAACTTAGACTTCGTTGAACAAGGCTACAGACCTTGACAGGACCAATTATGTAGCCACAATACCACCACATAACTGCTGTATAGAAACCCAGTCCACAGCAGAGCTCATGAACCATTCTCACCTCACACCATGTCCCATGTCCAGTGTTCTGTTGTATGTTCTCTACAGGGTGGCCAGACTCCAGCCTACTCTGCCTCCTTCAATGGTCATGCAGCTGTAGTTCAATTGCTGATAGAGAATGGAGCTGACATCAGTATCTGTGATAAGGTACATACCGTTAGTTTTCATGTCCAAAAGCTAACCTGCATTTTGCTGTTGGTTTAAGAACCTTCACGAGAGTCTGTGCCCCTTGCACCTCTCAGTTGCATGTAGAGTTATTTACTGGAGCCTCCATCTTGTGGCTAACGTTATACAGTCTGATTACTAAAGCTGCCTTGTGAAGCCTTCCAAGTGCAATAACCTAATTTATGTCGTTTTATAGGAGACAATACGTTGTCTGTGGTTTTGTCTATTGCGCCCTGCTTCAGCCTTATCTTACTGCTTTCAACCACCCTGTAACGTTTTAGATATGTGTGGCTTCTGCGCGT